CTGATCGAAAAAATTTTTTCCGTCTTGGACCGACTTAGAAATGTCCAAAAGGCATAATGATGAAGAAAGTTTTGGCTCAGAAAAATTTTGAAGCACATTTGGTGGGGAAAGTTTTCGCTCAGGAAAATTTTGAAGCACATTTTGACATATAAACTTTCAGACCGTATACGTATTTGCAAATGAATCCTTACCCGTCCTACATTATAAATAGTATTACGCTTACCCGTTACCCGTGGGATCAATCTTCAGTCAACAAAAGTTTGAGACTTAGAAAATTTTCAGCTGATCGAAAAAATTTTTTCCGTCTTGGACCGACTTAGAAATGTCCAAAAGGCATAATGATGAAGAAAGTTTTGGCTCAGAAAAATTTTGAAGCACATTTTGACATATAAACTTTCATACAGTATACGTATATGCAAATGAATCCTTACCCGTCCTACATTATAAATAGTATTACGCTTATACCCGTTACCCGAGGGATCAATCTTGAATCAACTAAAGTTTGGGACTTAGAAAATTTTCTGCTGATCGAATAAACTTTTTCGTTTTGGACCGACTTAGAAATGTCCAAAAGGCATAATGATGAAAGTTTTGGCTCAGCAAAATTTTGAAGCACATTTTGACATATAAAAGTTTTGGCTCAGGAAAATTTTGAACCACATTTTGACATATAAACTTTCAGACAGTATACGTATATGCAAATGAATCCTTACCCGTCCTTCATTATAAATAGTATTACGCTTACCCGTTACCAGTGGGATCAATCTTGAATCAACTAAAGTTTGGGACTTAGAAAATTTTCTGCTGATCGAATAAACTTTTTCGTTTTGGACCGACTTAGAAATGTCCAAAAGGCATAATGATGAAAGTTTTGGCTCAGCAAAATTTTGAAGCACATTTTGACATATAAACTTTCAGACAGTATACGTATATGCAAATGAATCCTTACCCGTCCTATGTTATAAATAGTATTACGCTTACCCGTTACAAGTGGGATCAATCTTGAGTCAACTAAGGTTTGGGACTTAGAAAATTTTCAGCTGATCGAATAAAGTTTTTCGTCTTCGACCGACTTAGAATTGTCCAAAGGGCATAATGATGAAGAAAGTTTTGGCTCAGGAAAATTTTGAAGCACATTTTGACATATAAACTTTCAGACAGTATACGTATAGGCAAATGAATCCTTACCCGTCCTACATTATAAATAGTATTACGCTTACCCGTTACCTGTGGGATCAATCTTGAATCAACTAAAGTTTGGGACTTAGAAAATTTTCAGCTGATCGAATAAATTTTTTCGTCTTCTACCGACTTAGAAATGTCCAAAAGGCATAATGATGAAGAAAGTTTTGGCTCAGGAAAATTTTGAAGCACATTTTGACATATAAACTTTCAGACAGTATACGTATATGCAAATGAATCCTTACCCGTCCTACATTATAAATAGTATTACGCTTACCCGTTACCCGTGGGATCAATCTTGAGTCAACTAAAGTTTGGGACTTAGAAAATTTTCAGCTGATCGAATAAATTTTTTCGTCTTGGGCCGACATAGAAATGTCCAAAAGGCATAATGATGACGAAAGTTTTCGCTCACCAAAATTTTGAAGCAATTTTGACATATAAACTTTCAGACAGTATACGTATATGCAAATGAATCCTTACCCGTCCTACATTATAAGATAGTATTACGCTTACCCGTTACCCGTGGGATCAATCTTGAGTCAACTAAAGTTTGGGACTTTGAAAATTTTCAGCTGATCGAATAAATTTTTTCGTCTTGGGCCGACATAGAATTGTCCAAAAGGCATAATGATGAAGAAAGTTTTGCACACTTAGAAAAGTGCAAAAGTCATAATGATGAAGAAAGTTTTCGCTCAGGAAAATTTGAAGCACATTTTGACATATAAACTTTCAGACAGTATACGTATATGCAAATGAATCCTTACACGTCCTGCATTATAAATAGTATTACGCTTACCCGTTACCCGTGGGATCAATCTTGAGTCAACTAAAGTTTGGGACTTAGAAAATTTCGAGCTGGTTGAATAAACTTTTTCGTCATGGACCGACTTAGAAATGTCCAAAAGGCATAATGATGAAGAAAGTTTTGGCTCCGAACAAAATTTTGAAGCACATTTTGAAATATAAACTTTCAGACAAAGAGAATTTTGAAGCACATTTTGACATATAAACTTTCAGACAGTATACGTATATGCAAATGAATCCTTACCCGTCCTACATTATAAATAGTATTACGCTTACCCGTTACCCGTGGGATCAATCTTGAGTCAACTAAAGTTTGGAACTTAGAAAATTTCGAGCTGATCGAATAAACTTTTTCGTCATGGACGGACTTAGAAATGCCCAAAAGGCATAATGATGAAGAAAGTTTTGGCTGAGCAAAATTTTGAAGCACATTTTGAAATATAAACTTTCAGACAGTATACGTATTTGCAAATGAATCCTTACCCGTCCTACATTATAAATAGTATTACGCTTACCCGTTACCCGTGGGATCAATCTTCAGTCAACAAAAGTTTGGGACTTAGAAAATTTTCAGCTGATCGAAAAAATTTTTTCCGTCTTGGACCGACTTAGAAATGTCCAAAAGGCATAATGATGAAGAAAGTTTTGGCTCAGGAAAATTTTGAAGCACATTTTGACATATAAACTTTCAGACAGTATACGTATATGCAAATGAATCCTTACCCGTCTTACATTATAAATAGTATTACGCTTACCCGTTACCCGTGGGATCAATCTTGAGTCAACTAAAGTTTGGGACTTAGAAAATTTTCAGCTGATCGAAAAAATTTTTTCGTCTTGTACCGAATTAAAAAATGTCCAAAAGGCATAATGATGAAGAAAGTTTTGGCTCAGGAAAATTTTGAAGCACATTTTGACATATAAACTTTCAGACAGTATACGTATATATGCAAATGAATCCTTGCCCGTCCTACATTATAAATAGTATTACGCTTACCCGTTACCCATGGGATCAATCTTGAATCAACTAAAGTTTGGGACTTAGAAAATTTTCAGGTGATCGAAAAAATTTTTTCGTCTGCGGCCGACATAGAAATGTCCAAAAGGCATAATGATGAGGAAAGTTTTCGCTCACCAAAATTTTGAAGCACATTTTGACATATAAACTTTCAGACAGTATACGTATATGCAAATGAATCCTTGCCCGTCCTACATTATAAATATATTACGCTTACCCGTTACCCGTGGGATCAATCTTGAGTCAACTAAAGTTTGGGACTTAGAAAATTTTCAGCTGATCGAAAAAATTTTTTCGTCGTAGTACGTCGCGGTCCGACTTTTCGTTGCCGAGATATCGACGGTGACTTAAAAAGGGCGTGGCCAAAATTTTTGATGACTGGACACACTTAGAAAAGTGCAAAAGGCATAATGATGAAGAAAGTTTTCGCTCAGGAAAATTTGAAGCACATTTTGACATATAAACTTTCAGACAGTATACGTATATGCATATGAATCCTTACACGTCCTGCATTATAAATAGTATTACGCTTACCCGTTACCCGTGGGATCAATCTTGAGTCAACTAAAGTTTGGGACTTAGAAAATTTTCAGCTGATCGAAAAAATTTTTTCGTCTTGTACGTCGCGGTCCGACTTTTCGTTGCCGAGATATCGACGGTGACTTAAAAAGGGCGTGGCCAAAATTTTTGATGACGTCATTTTCTGGATCAGAATCTTATGCTGAATCGAATGGTGGTGTCTACGTCGCGGTCCGACCTTTCGTTGCCGAGATATCGACGGTAACTTAAAAAGGGCGTGGTCAAAATTTTTGATGACGTCATTTTCTGAATCAGAATTTTACGCTGAATCGAATGGTGCTGATGCGCAATACGTAACTCCTTACCCTTGCATATTTTGGTAAGAAGATATTAACAAAAGTTGTTCGTCTTGTCTACGTCGCGGTCCGACCTTTCTTTGCCGAGATATCGACGGTAACTTAAAAAGGGCGTGGTCAAAATTTTTGATGACGTCATTTTCTGAATCAGAATTTTACGCTGAATCGAATGGTGGTGTCTACGTCGCGGTCCGACCTTTCGTTGCCGAGATATCGACGGTAACTTAAAAAGGGCGTGGTCAAAATTTTTGATGACGTCATTTTCTGAATCAGAATTTTACGCTGAATCGAATGGCTACAACTTTGCTTAATATCCTCTTACCAAATTATGCTTATTTAAAGAGATAGGTCTGCGCATACGCAGTACGTAACTGCTTACGATTGCATATTTTGGTGAGAAGATATTAACAAAAGTTGTTCGTCTTGATGAGGGCTACAACTTTGCTTAATATCGTCTTACCAAATTATGCTTATTTAAGGAGATAGGTCTGCGCATGCGCAGTACGTAACTCCTTACGCTTGCATATTTTGGTAAGAAGATATTAACGACAGTTGTTCGTCTTGGTGAGGGCTACAACTTTGCTTAATATCGTCTTACCAAATTATGCTTATTTAAGGAGATAGGTGTGCTCATGCGCAGTACGTTACTCCTTACGCTTGCTTATTTTGGTTAGAAGATATTAACAAAAGTTGTTCGTCTTGGTGAGGGCTACAACTTTGCTTAATATCGTCTTTCCAAATTATGCTTATTTAAGGAGATAGGTCTGGGCATGCGCAGTACGTAACTCCTTACGCTTGCATATTTTGGTAAGAAGCTATTAACAAAAGTTGTTCGTCTTGTTGAGGGCTACAACTTTGCTTAATTATCGCATCGTCTTACGTCTTGTTGAGGGCTACAAATTTGCGTAATATCGACTTACCAAATTATGCTTATTTAAGGAGATAGGTCTGCGCATGCGCAGTACGTAACTCCTTACGCTTGCATATTTTGGTAAGAAGCTATTAACAAAAGTTGTTCGTCTTGATCAGGGCTACAACTTTGCTTAATATCCTCTTACCAAATTATGCTTATTTAAAGAGATAGGTCTGCGCATACGCAGTACGTAACTGCTTACGATTGCATATTTTGGTGAGAAGATATTAACAAAAGTTGTTCGTCTTGATGAGGGCTACAACTTTGCTTAATATCGTCTTACCAAATTATGCTTATTTAAGGAGATAGGTGTGCGCATGCGCAGTACGTTACTCCTTACGCTTGCTTATTTTGGTTAGAAGATATTAACAAAAGTTGTTCGTCTTGGTGAGGGCTACAACTTTGCTTAATATCGTCTTACCAAATTATGCTTATTTGAGGAGATAGGTCTGCGCATGCGCAGTACGTAACTCCTTACGCTTGCATATTTTGGTAAGATATTAACAAAAGTTGTTCGTCTTGGTGAGGGCTACAACTTTGCTTAATATCGTCTTACCAAATTATGCTTATTTAAGGAGATAAGTCCACGCATGCGCAGTACGTAACTCCTTACGCTTGCATATTTTGGTAAGAAGATATTAACAAAAGTTGTTCGTCTTGGTGAGGGCTACAACTTTGCTTAATATCGTCTTACCAAATTATGCTTATTTAAGGAGATAAGTCCACGCATGCGCAGTACGTAACTCCTTACGCTTGCATATTTTGGTAAGATATTAACAAAAGTTGTTCGTCTTGGTGAGGGCTACAACTTTGCTTAATATCGTCTTACCAAATTATACTTATTTATGCTTATTTCGATTATGCACCTGGAATATCCTGCTTTGTTTCTTCATAAACTGTCTTATGATACACGGGTAAGGCATCGAAAGAAAGCTTATGGACCGTAGATTCAAAAAATCCAATTTGGAGACCGTGACAAATTCACGTCTTCGCTACAGTGACCTTGAAATTCAATAGAACATCGCATTCGGGACAGCGCACGAATGAGGCATCGACAGAAAGCTTATGGATAGTAGATTCCAGGAATACGACCTGCAGGCTAGCGCAAATTCAAGTCTCTGCTACAAGAGCCTTGAAATTCGATAGAACATTAGGTTGGAAATCGCATAATATTAACTTTCACGTCTTTTTCGATTATGCACCTGGAATAACCTGCTCTGTTTCTTCATAAACTGTCTTTTGATACAGGAGTAAGGCATCGATAGAAAGCTTATGGACCGTAGATTATAAAAATACAATTTTGAGACCGTGACAAATTCGCGTCTTCGCTACAAGGACCTTGAAATTCAATAGAACATCACATTCGAGACATCCCAAACCCTAACCCTCACTTATAAAATTCGAAATTTATCGTCTTTTTCGATTGGACAGCTGCAAAAAAAACTACTTTTTTTCTCCACATCCGGCCTATTGATGCACGAATGAGACATCGACAGAAAGCTTATGGATGACAGATTCCAGAAATACAACCTTCAGGCTAGCCCAAATTCAAGTCTCTCCTACAAGAGCCTTGAAAATCGATAGAACATCAGGTTGGAAACCGCATAATATTAACTTTCACGTCTTTTTCGATTATGCACCTGGAATAACCTGCTTTGTTTGTTCATAAACTGACTTTTGATACACGAGTAGGGCATCGATAGAAAGCTTATGGACTGTAGATTATAAAAATACAATTTTGAGACCGTGACAAATTCACGTCTTCGCAACAGGGACCTTGAAATTCAATAGAACATCACATTCGAGACATCGCAAACCCTAACTCTCACTTATAAAATTCGAACTTTATCGTCTTTTTCGATTGCACAGCTGGAAAAAAACTGCTTTTTTTCTCCACATCCGGCCTAGTGATGCACGAATGAGACATCGATAGAAAGCTTATGGATCACAGATTCCAGAAATACAACTTTCAGGCAAGCCCAAGTTCAAGTCCAGAGCCTTTAAATTCGATAGAGCATCAGGTTGGAAACCGCATAATATTATTTTCCACGTCTTTTTCGATTATGCACCTGGAATAACCTGCTTTGTTTCTTCATAAACTGTGTTTGGATACGCGAGTAAGGCATCGATAGAAAGCTTATGGACCTTAGATTATAAAAATACAATTTTAAGACCGTGACAAATTCACGTCTTCGCTACAGGGACCTTGAAATTCAATAGAGCATCACATTCGAGACAACCCAAACCCTAACCCTCACTTATAAAATTCTAACTTTATCGTCTTTTTCGATTGCACAGCTGGAAAAACTGCTTTTTTCTCCACGTCCGGCCTAGTGATGCACGAATGAGGCATCGACAGAAAGCTTAATGATCGTAGATTCCAGAAATACAACCTTCAGGCTAGCCCAAATTCAAGTCTCTGCTACAAGAGCCTTGAAATTCGATAGAACATCAGGTTGGAAACCGCATAATATTAACTTTCACGTCTTTTTCGATTATGCACCTGGAATAACCTGCTTTGTTTCTTCATAAACTGTCTTTTGATACACGGGTAAGGCATCGAAAGAAAGCTTATGGACCGTAGATTCTAAAAATCCAATTTGGAGACCGTGACAAATTCACGTCTTCGCTACAGTGACCTTGAAATTCAATAGAACATCGCATTCGGGACAGCCAAAACCCTAACCCTCACTTATAAAATTCTAACTTTTTCGTCTTTTTCGATTACACAGCTGGAAGAAAACTGCTTTTTTTCTCCATATCCGGCCTTAGTGATGCACGAATGAGGCATCGACAGAAAGCTTATGGATAGTAGATTCCAGGAATACGACCTGCAGGCTAGCCCAAATTCAAGTCTCTGCTACAAGAGCCTTGAAAGTGATAAACATTAGAGGTTGGAAATCGCATAATATTAACTTTCACGTCTTTTTCGATTATGCATACCAATTCAGTCTTGTTATGCACCTGGAATAACCTGCTCTGTTTCTTCATAAACTGTCTTTTGATACAGGAGGAAGGCATCGATAGAAAGCTTATGGACCGTAGATTATAAAAATACAATTTTGAGACCGTGACAAATTCGCGTCTTCGCTACAGGGACCTTGAAATTCAATAGAACATCACATTCGAGACATCCCAAACCCTAACCCTCACTTATAAAATTCGAAATTTATCGTCTTTTTCGATTGGACAGCTGCAAAAAAACCTGCTTTTTTTCTCCACATCCGGCCTATTGATGCACGAATGAGACATCGACAGAAAGCTTATGGATCACAGATTCCAGAAATACAACCTTCAGGCTAGGCCAAATTCAAGTCTCTCCTACAAGAGCCTTGAAAGTCGATAGAGCATCAGGTTGGAAACCGCATAATATTATTTTCCACGTCTTTTTCGATTAAGCACCTGGAATAACCTGCTTTGTTTCTTCATAAACTGTGTTTGGATACGCGAGTAAGGCATCGATAGAAAGCTTATGGACCGTTGATTATAAAAATACAATTTTAAGACCGTGACAAATTCACGTCTTCGCTACAGGGACCTTGAAATTCAATAGAGCATCACATTCGAGACAACCCAAACCCTAACCCTCACTTATAAAATTCTAACTTTATCGTCTTTTTCGATTGCACAGCTGGAAAAACTGCTTTTTTCTCCACATCCGGCCTAGTGATGCACGAATGAGGCATCGACAGAAAGCTTAATGATCGTAGATTCCAGAAATACAACCTTCAGGCTAGCCCAAATTCAAGTCTCTGCTACAAGAGCCTTGAAAGTCGATAGAACATCAGGTTGGAAACCGCATAATATTAACTTTCACGTCTTTTTCGATTATGCACCTGGAATAACCTGCTTTGTTTCTTCATAAACTGACTTTTGATACACGCGTAAGGCATCGATAGAAAGCTCATGGACGGTAGATTCTAAAAATACAATTTTCAGACCGTGACAAATTCACGTCTTCGCAACAGGGACCTTGAAATTCAATAGAACATCACATTCGAGACAGCCCAAACCATAACCCTCACTTATAAAATTCAAACTTTATCGTCTTTTTCGATTGCACAGCTGAAAAAAAACTGCTTTCTTTATACTAACCTTATCCGTTATCCGGGAGTCTCGAGTCAAGTAAATTTCGGACAGATGGAAAAATTTTTTTGTCGTACTGGACATAGATCGACCTAGAAAGATTCAAAACGCATATTGATGCAGATAGTTATGCTTGAAGCACATTTTGACATACAAACTTTCAGACAGTATACGTATATGCAAATGAATCCTTACCCGTCCGATGATTATAAATACTATTAGGCTTACCCGTTACCCGTGGGATCAATCTTGAGTCAACTAAAGTTTGAGATTAGAAAATTTCGAGCTGATCGAAAAAGTTTTTTCGTCATCGACCGACTTAGAAATGTTCAAAACGCATAATGATGCAGAAAGATTTGGCTCAGGAGAATTTTAGAACACATTTTCAAATTTGAGATGACTAGTGCAAATGTTCGTTATCCGTCCTTCATAATAAGTTATACTAACCTTCTCCAGGATTCTCGAGTCAACTAAATTTCGGACTGATGGAACATCCCAGTTTTTCCGTCATAGACATAGATCAACCTAAAAATTCAAAACGCATATTGATGGAGAAAATTTTGGTTCAGGGGAATTTTAAAGCACATTTTGACTTACAGACTTGTTGGTCCGTCTTAATCAGTAGGCTTATACGTTTTTTTTAAATTGTTCTTCGCTCCGCGTTACCCGGATTTCTCAACTATACTAGTACTGCAGCTAATTAAAGGGCCACATACTGCTTCTTCATACAGCCATCACAAACAGGGGCTAGCTACAAGGTATGCCGAAATCCCATATCCTTAATTCATCGCAACAAATCGCCGAGGCTACTGCAGGGTATGCCGAAATCTAGCATCCTTATCATCCAGTAAGCTCATGACGCGCTCGTATATTCGTCTGTTTGTGAGAAAATTTTTCCCTGTCTGCTCGAAATTTTCTAAATATGCAGAAATATATGTATATAAAAAACGTGCTGGACATGTTTTACATGGTGAAAGGTTGACAATTTTTGAAAGGAAAATTTTTGCTGTTGAAAACATATAACTTATATGTGTGTAAATAAAAATTAATAGAAATAAATAAAAATTTCCAGCTAACATTCACGACGAGAACGGGAGTTGTCTCGTGTTTGCCGCCAGACATGCAGCGTGGATTATAACGTTTTTGCTATAGGTCTGACAAATGTCCGATTAACGAGACTGTTGCTCGGACGTTGGCCAACAATGATCAGCCAACTATTTCACCAATTTTTACGTGACAGTGCTACAGATCGACGTACCATTATTGATTGCACATTTGCATGCAGAAAAAAGCTTGGCGTACGCCAACTAGCAACGTCCTCCGCGCCTTCACTTTGTTTGTGTTTC